GAATACAGTACAGTACGGTGGTCAGCGTATCCAAATATATTTGAATATGCTGCTGTTGGCAAGTTCGGCCATCACAGAGCATTCTGCCATCGGAGTCCCGGATCAGCGGATCAGTCGTACTGCAGCGCAAACTTCAGTTCAATTTTCTTCAACTGCTCTTTAGGTTACTATGACCCTCACTCGGTGAGGATTTCAACATCTTACAGGCTGCGAATAACGGTAAGCCTTTGACTATCAGTTCACTTCCCCTGGAGCTCTGACATTGCCGATCATTGCCGAGAGGTTCAGAATGCCGTACTGCTGCATACAACGGAGAATGGTAGTGCAGATAAAACTGAGGTTTGACATTGGGTGACTTTCCATAAGCATAAACAATTCATTGAGGGTGCCAGCGATGCCATCTAATGCTCAGATATTCAATCGCTCCGTCAACGACTTGACTTCCCACAAGATAAAACATAAAAATGAAGTTGAACTCCCGACTCAAGTAAAGGCCGGGATGAGCTCCGGTAGTCAATAGAGGACTCCTCCATTTTTTCTGGCCCGAATCGACTCCTTGGTTGTTGCCAATGAACATTGTGCTTGTTGACCACCACCAAGTTAGTTTATTCAATCTGTTATAATCTGAACGGGGGGTACCTACCCCCCCTCCAGATTATCATAGATTCGAATAGATTCCTGCCCCTTTTGTGCCTCCGAACTGATGGGGTTCATTCATTCATTCATGGATCAATTTGAGTGCTTGCGGGCCCCTTGGGGCCCATGTGGCACTATACGTAGTACAGGGATGTATTCTAGCGGTCGTGGAGGTGTTGTACTTAGGCGGAGGCGGCGGAGGGGACGGAAGACAATGGAGTGGTGCTCTATGGGGCAGGTGGAGTATTGAGGGGCGTGAGATGTATGTTAACTGATGGGGTCCCGACACCTGTCGCGGCGTTTGGTCGGAAAGCTTGGAAAATATGTGAAAAGCATTATTTTATGCTTATGGAAAGTCACCCATTTATGTGCTGCATTTAATTCTAATTCCGTGACTGCTCTCGAAGGGTGTAGGTCAAGCATCAGACATCTCCATTGAATATTTTATTTTCGAGCCTTAAAGCACACTCTATCTGTTGCGTTTGATGGACATTGACACAAAGAAATGGTTCAAGTCGGGGCTTGCGGAGGGGTAAAATACACAGACTTTGTGAAAACTTCGGGGACCCAGAATATATTCAGATATATTCATATCATATTCATATTCAACGGGAAAAATATGAATACGATACACTAAGGATACGATACGGGGTCTGAGTTATGAATCCGATACAGATATGAATACGATACGCCAAATGGCGTATCCGTATCCGTATCCGGCCAGCACTAGGCACGGCTCGGACAGAGCTCGGTCGAATCCCCACTTGCTGTAGACCAATAAGTACAGATTTCCGTCATCAACTCAGCGAAAGACAAGAAGACGTTGAGCCTGTTATTTTGGCTAAGGTACGGCTAGTAAGTTACGGTAGCTGGTACGTACTAATAAGCGACTTGGCAACTCAGATTTTCATGCGGAAATTGCTTAAGCGCGGACGATCTGCCACGATCAAACCTGTGACCACGACTCATCGGATGAAGAATGATATGAAAAAAAAAAGACTCGCTCTGCCCGTGGCGGAGGCAGGAGTGAGGTAGATAGGCATACTGTCATAGACCACAGCTTTTCACGCTGTGGGCGCATGAGATGGAAAGAGTTAGGGATTAATTTGATTGCCCTGAGTGATGATCAATTCCGGCCTTATGTCTACTTCGTTGACTTTGGAAGCGCCGGCTGGTTACGCACTTCCTTTGCCCTCGCGCCACCTCTTCCCCACTCTGAGGAGCATCGAGCTGGGACTCAAGTTGGACGCTTCTAACAATGGCGGTGGTTGTGTCTGATGCGTATGTCCTTGTTTCTTTGACCTTTCTCGTTTTACATCCGATTTCTAGGTACCTCCTGGTCGCGTCATGGATAAACTGCTTGGCCTACATGCTAGAAATTATCCTCATCGTCCGCTATTTTCAGCAGCCCTCTCGGCCACGGATTCATAAACTCGGTGTTGCCGCCATATTGGCATTCGACACCGCTGGGACCATCGCGATCTGCGCTCAAGTGTACACGAGTCTTTTGCTGTTCCCCTGCGAATTCGACTTTGCTTCGCTCGTCGCGACCACGACATCCGTCGCTGTGACCCTGCTCGCGACCTATTCGTCCGCCGCTATCGAGCAGTTGTTCCTGTGCAATCTGTTTTTTACCCTGTGAGTGCCCTCACTGGTGCATCGGCTAATCTTAATTTTCTGTACTTCCAGAACGAAGCGCTGGTTCGTTAGTCTTGGGATCTTACTCGCCATCGCCGTCCATGTGAGATTCATCTTGGACTAATTTCCCAATTTTTTTACACATCGCCTAGACTGGATGTTCGTTCGCGTCGGCCATCTTGATTCTGAAGAATCATTCTCCCCTGGGGTCGGCACTGCTTACTTCCGAGTGCGCCCTCTCTCTGCTCCCGTCTCGCCTGGCTGATTCTTCCAAGACTCGGAGCTATTATATGTGCCGCGACGGACGTCATCATCGCTTCTACGCTGGTGTACACCCTCTTCCGGTTGGAAAGGACATCTGTGGTCCGCGTTTCAATGCACAGGTAATCCTTTCGGTCATCACTACACAAAGCACTGGCTGATTACTGCAAAGGCTCCTCCGCATCCTCATGATTCGCACCGTCACCGCCGGGGTCGCCGTTGCTTTCACCACCATCATGACCATGTCATTGCTCCTGAAAAACAACCCCGGTCCGTTTTCCTTCCAACCTGTCACCTCATAGTGTTCTTGCCCTCTCTTACATCTCGCGTCTCAGCGTACTCGTTATTTTTTTTCATGCAAGGACGGGTTTACGCTCTTACAATCATGGCCAATTTCCTTGTTGGGCCTCCCAGCCAAGCTGGTCCGAAGACGTTGACCCATATATCGGGGGGGAACGCCACTACTGTCGTCTTCAACAACGAATTCCAGCACGCCGACGATAACGGAGCTGCAGCGCAGCGCAGCACTGTACGCGTCTGTCCGGTCATATCTAACCCCCATTTCATTAACCGCCATCTCATTAACAGGGCCGACGCAGCGAAGCTGACATCAACCTGGAAACAATGCCTGTTCACGATCGAAAATTGCCCACAGATTCGGACGAGCGGTCGACGTCAGGGAACTACTAAGATAGGGCTACGAACGGGCTACGTTATTCCGTGTAATGATACCCTAGCTACCTCCTAGTTATTAGATTCGCCTACTACGTATACAGTGATGGTTGTGGATGTGCCCTAATGTAACACTACAGTAACAATGCCGAGTCGAGTTCGCCGCCTGCGAGTTCGCCGCGTCTTTGACATGTATGTTACAGTATTTCTTGAGACTCGATTCGAGTTCACCGCCTTCTTCTCTGTCTCGGGTATCTACCCTCGGGACCCGATGATGGTCACCATGTCCGCGCCTGTTTGGCGCCTGTCCGCCCCTTCTATATTAATTACATACTCCGTGGAGCTCGCGGCCCCTGAAAAAATTATGAGCCAAAGATCTACCGTGCTTGACACTAGTGGATCATCTCGGTTTCCACGATGAATTCCTCAGCGTCGGGAGCACCTGCTCACGTTCCGGACGGGAGGCTTTAGGGTTGGTGGGTTTCTGAGATGCACACAAAGCCTTTTATTCTCGTCGTTTTCGAGGTGAGACTCCTGGGGCCGTTTTTACGTGGCCTGCGCTTTCTGTGCCTCTCGCTCGACGGCCTCCTCCTCCTCCGAAGTACTGTGTGAGAACCCCTTTCACACAACTCTTATTCACTAGGGAGCTCCGACTTCGTCGGAAGAGACCTCGCTTGCAGTTGGCGGCCCAAAAAGATCAGGGCAACTCAGTGCTTTGCCCGCTCTGCTGCGCGAGCGTTCTGGAAGAAATAGTCTCAGCCTGTGCGTGAAGTTGGTTGTATAGGTAATGTAGACGTGACACTTGTGTAAATTCGAGGTCTAGAACTCACTTCGGGAAATTTAGGATCAGCGGGTCGTTCAAAAAGTGCAACCATTATGAGGTTGGGGAGACCTTGACAAGCAAGGTGACAATGGCGAAAGTTGAAAGTTCACTACAAGTTACAACTCGGGCAAAACTGTAAATGTGTTTATGTAACTTTTGGTGCATGAAATCTCCTGGACTACGAATTTCGTCGTGGCCAACTTCCAGATCCCATCCTCCAACTGCGAATGCGTATGTACATCGTTCCAAATTCTCAACAGTCAGAAATCAACTTGAACTCGGCCCGCAATCACGAACGGATTGATTTGATAGGAGCATGCTCCGGCTTTGTTGCCGAAGGTTCCATATTGCTGCCGAAGGTTCCATGTTGCTGGCAGCGTACCAAACGCCCCAGAGGAATCTCTTCTGAAACACTGTTAAGCTCACTCCAGTTGTGACGATTGAACTCCTTTTGCGGCTCTCCCAACTGGAGGAATAGGTGCAGCGGTTGAACTTGATTTCAACCGTGGGAACAAATAACAAGTTTGTCTTGTTGAATGGATTTTTGAGAGTAAGTGATCCGAGTGTGGGAATGTCTAAAAGCCCGGCATGGAAGCAATTTGATACACTCATCCTCGAATAACAGACAGCCATGGCGCGAGTGGTGATGAAAAGAGTCAAAACCCAACGGCCCTGAACATTGCGTCCCGGTAGCCGGATAAAGTTTGAGCCCTCTGTCTGGATCACTGTACAGACTCGGTGCGGGTCTGGGCGAGCCGCTAGACTGGGCAACCTCCATAAAATTTATCGACTCTCATAAATCTTGTGGGGTTTGACTACAAAAAACTAAACCTCGGCCAGGCTGCCCCACTCTCGGTCTAGGGCTTACCGCAACGGAGGGAAAGAGCGTTTTGAATGCGGAGGTACGTCAAGCATCGTAATAAGGATGACGGTAGGGAACAAAAAATTGCCTTGCGGATACTCCAATCCATGCGGACGCGGGGAGTCGAACCCCAACAGCTACAGTTACAACGATTTAATTTTCGAATGGAACGCAGCGGTGCACCGCGCACCACGTCCGCTTTCTGCCACACGTTTTCTCTGTGGGGAGATGAGAGAAAATTTCGTGAAGGCGAGGACCGTGGGCCGAAAAATATATATTTACGAGGTTGCCGACTTCACATGCGGACACGGGAGTCGAACCCCGAATGGCTGCAGGTTCAAGAGCTTTGAAGTTTATGCTCGAATGGGTGAATGAAGCTGCACCAGGTCCGGGTTATCAACCGACTTCTGTGCAGGACAAACCAAGGAAGTTTAGGACGGTGAGGTTAAAAAGGAAAACCGCACATCCTACCCGCCAAGCGGACGTCGGCACTGGCCATTCACGTTAACAAACCGACAAACTCCAGCAACATACAATACAATACAGTGGTGCGCCGCGCACCATATCCGCTTTCCTCTCGCCTAGCTCTGTGGGGCGGACTTGTGAGCGGCGAGGGTAAGCAAAAATAAAAATAAATCCACCACCGATACACGCCCCGCGGATGTAGAGAGTGGAACCCTGAGAGCTGAAAGTCAATCAGGCTACAATTTAACTGGATGCAGCACCTACCATGGCCGTTCACTGCTCTCCCAGTTGTAGCTGTTTCTTGTCAGGTGCAGAAAGAAAAAATTCTCTCTCGCCACGCCACGCGAACGCAGGGAGTCGAACCCCGGTTGCTGCAAGTTAAAGTGGATTGTGCAACGAGACGCAGCGGTGCGCTGCGCACCACGTCCGCCTTTACTCCCTCCGGCTGTGGGCTTGCTAGGATACTGTTTACGATTTGACTTGACGGGTATGTAGGTTTGAAGAGAAGATCCTCATGGATACCGCGGCGTAAGAATAAGCACAATCTCGATAAAGACGGTTTGAAGTCTGAAACAGCTCACAAAGGGAGGGGGTATAATTAAAATTAGGAAGAGAAGGAGAAATTTGAACGGACGAAGGCATTCACACTAGCGTTAAACAGGGCATCAGGTGGAAATCAAACTCCGATTGATGGCGAATCGCTTTCCATTTAGACTCCGTGGACGCAAATCCCGCAAAGCTGAGATCGCGTTTCTCTTCCTACCCGCCATGGAGCCAATGCCTCCCTCACAATTACCAACGGCCACTGCGTCTACGGACCAATGGGTCTTCCCGACCCCCGACGCACCGCCTTTTCTCATTCCAAGTGGTCTGAATCCCGCAACCGGCGAGTTCATCGCGCGAGCCCCCAAACAGCGCATCTCGCTAGCGTGTAACAACTGCAGACAACGACGCACAAAGGTCGGTACTGCTCCCCAATTTCGCCTCATTTCTCGCGATTTTTCTCGACTTTCTGGAGGCAAAAGCATAGTAAGACTAACGAAAACGCGCGATAGTGCACGGGGACGTACCCTTCCTGCGAACGCTGCATCGCGAGAAAGCTGCCCTGCGGGTATCCCGACGAACGCAAACGCGGACGCGGGCCCGCCAAACCGAAGCCGAAACTGAGTGACCCGACGTTGCCCACGAGGCCCAAGAACGCGAGACGACGGTTTATCAAGGTCGACGTGGGGAAGAGCGGCAATGACTATGACGCGTCCGAGATGGAGCTGCAGCAATTTGGACCCCCTTTGCGTCACGGTGGCGGACACGAGGCGGGCGGCAGCCTCAGGAACAACCACCACACCAGCCCCAGCACCATGTTATCACTCGAGCTCCCCACGTCCACACACAACTCCCACTTTCCCGGTTTGCACGAGTACGACTACGCTGAGTCCGCGACGTATGATCTCCCGCCTTCTGCTGCGTACTCTGGCTCGTCTGCGTCTGCGTCTACGTCCGCGTCTTCTTCTTCCGCGTACCCTTCTTCCTCTCCCACATCCATATCCCCGTATTCCACCGCTTACGCAGGCAGCTTCCCCCACCGTCCCGCCCCCGTGCTTCCCCGCCAGTACGCCATCGCGACCTCCCTCACCGCCTCTTATTACTCCTATTACCCCAACCCCGGCCCACCCGGCGCGACCCCTTATTACCCCTACCCGCACCCCAACGCGAACTTCATCGCGATGGGCATGGACATGGAGCGCGAGAGGCAGGTACCCATTTCTAGCCCCGGACAAGACCATCGCGCGGCGTGGCCGTTGGAGGCGGGGTACGCGCTGCACCAGCACCACTACCCCGCGTACTCCGCCAATGACCACTCGCACTCGGATGCAGACGTAGATCGTTCGTACAACAATGCCGCCGCGGCGCGCGAGGTCGACGAAAACGATACAGGCGCGGACGACATCAATATCGACCCCACGCTGCGCCTCCCCCTCGCGCCCGAGACCTCGCACACCCGCACCGGCGCGCCCAGCGAAGACGACCACGCACTAAACTCGAATGCGGCGCAAGTGCAAGTCGAGCGCAGGCTAGACGAGCCTCGGCCGCGAATTGCAGCGCAGACTCAGACCCCGAGACCACGATTGCAGCTCCGCACGCGTCCCGCGCTCTCCCTCAACATGGGGCTTTCGCGTAAGCCACAAGCACGCCGCACGACCAGTCTGGGATCTACGAGCTTGGGCTCGGCGGTGGGGTCTGTAGGTGTTAACCCTGCAGCCCTCCGCGGCGCGCGCAGTTTCAGCGCCGACAGCGCCGACAGTGCGGGCAGTGGAAGTGGGTGGAGAAGCGCGAGCGCGGAGAGCGCGAGCGTAGGGAGTCGGAGTGCGGGGAGTGGGGAGAGTAGCGCGTGAGTTTCTTCCTTCTTCGGTTCTGTCTTTCGTTCTTCTTTTGGGAGGGAATCGTTCATTCCTTCTTGTCGGAGAGGATTCCTTCAAGATTCCTTCCTCTTTTGCGCGAGGAATGTGCGTTTCCCCCCTCCTCGGAGCCGGCGTCCAAAGCCTGCATCTGGCTCTCGCTCAGACTCTGGGTTTTTGCGGATTTGGCTTTCATTTGCTTTAATTCGCGTGCTTCGGCGGGCAAGGGGCTTCCGCCCGCGGGAGGCAACGACGTGGCGTCATTCGAAGCGCTCACGCTGCTTTCTCCTGCTGCGATGCGACGAGGGCGATCTGGGGAGGGCGCGGACGTTGTGCGGGAGGACGGTAACGATGCGGAGGGGGACGGGGATCGCGCCCAAGTCGATGCTTTGACTGCGCCCGGCCCTTCCGTGTCTTGGTGTGGTACAGGACATATCGGTGTTTCGTTTCGTCTCGGAGATGCGCGGCATGTAGGCGCTGGCTAGCACGACGCTGGGCTCGCGGGGACGAGACGAGGGCATCTACGAGCGCCCAGATTATAATAGCGTTGTGGGCTTGCGATTCAGCGCTCCAACTGCGCCTGGATGCCGACCGAGGCTTTCTTTGGGGGATCCTGGTCCCGATCTGGGTGCAAGCGCTTTCTCTCCTCTTGCACTCCGCCGTCGCTGATCAGAAGGCCCCTGTCGATGACGGGCTTGTCTGTATTCACGCTATCTAGCAGATACAACGCGTGTGTATCGGCATCTGCTTTATTCCTCTTCTTGCCTTCGTCAAGTCCTATCCTCTGATCAGTTTCTCTTGCTTACAATGGACGCCTTTACTCACCTCCTTCGCAGACCAACCTCCGCCGCCTCAGGCTTCTTTCCGCTCTTCCACGGCCCGCAGACCCAGCCGCCCTACGAGTCCCAGTCTCCCTCATCGTATGCCGCGTCTCCGCAGTCGTATCCGCCGTCTCCCCACCCCCAGTCGCCGGATCTCATCCCCACTACCACCGACGACGCCAATCCGAGGGCGCACTCGACCTACCCACATTCGCCCTCCCCGCACCCATCTTCAGCCCACCAGTCGTACTCGCACTCTGCCCCCGCCCCCGTTCCCGCACCCACGCACCCATACTTCAATACTCCCCCAACCTTCGCGCGAGTCGAGCTCCCGTCGCCCTCCGCGTTCATGTACTCCGCGCACGCGCACGCCCAGACCCACGCGCACGTCTCTAGACCCAGCAGCGCGAACGTGAGTCTGGAGGAGTTCGAGGAGCTGTCGGGAATGTACGAGCCGCCGTCGATGCAGTTTGCGCAGAACAGGGCCGGGGCGGACAAGCCCGAGCCGCAGTACGTGGCGCCTGTGCGTGCGTATAGCGGGCCCGGGACGCAGCCGGACGCGGGGCAGACGTTTATGACGTCCATACAGGAGCGGATGGGCGGGTTCGGCGCTGGCGGTGCGCTGAGTGGAGGATGGGAGGACTTTGAAGGGATCGGTGGGTGGATGGAGCCGCCGAGCATGCCTATCTCGCGCGCGTCCTCCTCCGCGTCGATCGCGCGGCCGGGGTCCTCCGCCTCTGCCTCTGCGCGTGGGGTGCAGGGTGCTTCATCTGCGTCGGGGGCGTACGCACGCACGAGGACGCGCACGGTGTCGCCCGTGCAGGAGGGCGGCGTCGGGACTCCTCCTTCCAAGACCGCAGCGAGAGCAGTGTCCTCGCCAGTGCGCGCACATGGGATTAGCCTTAAAGACTTGTTACTCTGGCCCGTCCGCGCGGGCGCACATACAGAGCCGGGAGGTGCACAGGTAGGAGCTGGGGATGAAGGCGAAGGGGAGGCCTCGCTGTTCTCATCGCCTGTGCGCTTTTCCGGGTTCCGCTGGTCGCCGGTGCGGGAGCTGGGGGCTGAGGATGCGGATTGCGAGACGTGGCCGTCGGCGTCACGCCCCCCGTTCTCTGCGTCGACGCCCACGGACTACTGATCGTGCCAATAGTCTTGCACTCCGATCTGAGTTGCGGTGGTTCGAGAGCGGTCCATCCTACAACATCCTAGCAAATTATCTTGTGAGCCGTCCGCGCATCTCCCTCCGCGACGTCGGCGCAGCTCCACGTCTTCTTGACCGACTCTTGGCTCCCCTCATCCGTCTTCGATCCCAGCATTATTTTCCGAGTCCCGTTTCACTCATGTTTCATTGGTACCTCACCTATCCGCACGCACTGTAGAGTAGAAAATCATAGTAATTAGCATAGCATACGCATTCATACCGCACATCCGCGCATACCTACCATAGATTACATTCATACGAGTCAGTGGCGATAACAATTCTTCAACGATAGGAAAATGGAGACGGCAAGGAGTAT